CGAACTTGACCTGCCTGCAGACAAAAGACAAACCTATACAAAATTTCAGCACCCTACCTCAATTCCTTCAAAAGATAGCGTGATTACAACAGACGGACGGACGGACATGGCTAGATCGTCTTAGAATTTTACCCTAATCAAGAATATATATACTTTATAGGGTCGGAAAGGAATATTTCGATGAGTTAAACGGAATAACAAAATTAATATACCCTCCATACTATGGTGGATGGTATAAAAATTACAGATCTATGTGAAGTATTAAAAATACCTCATGTATTTTTTCAGATATTTATATATATTCTGGATGTTATTGCACAGGGTTAATCATTGTATTATTTATTTGTCTTGGACCCATGATAAATCTCTTATTAAGAATTGTACTCGAATATGTTCTAATGGCTCGGTCTTTATTTCAATTATTTATTTTTCAAGATCATACAATATTTATTTCCCATCATATATTAATTTATTAGTTCAAAATCGAAACTGGTATAATATATCCGCATTTCCGGCATTTTCAAAGGCCGATGTACTTTGATCATCAGATTTGATAATATAATCGGATTCTTTCAAAGCACCGCACATGTTGAAAACAACATCAGACAATTCATCATTTTTCGAACAATCCAACATATATTCATATTCGTCACTAAATTAGGGCCCAAAAGCCTTTTGGATTTCTTCGTATTTATCCGATAGCACCCCGATGAGAAAGGTACCAGGTCTAGGCAAGTAGAACTCACCAATCGTTGGTGGATCATATTGCACCATGGTGGTGTGACATCATCAACAGCAATTGTCTTAAATACCATACCTATAATAGCATCGAATGGAGCATAGGTGATACCAGGTTCAATGTGCCAGCAGCAATAACTTGCTTTTTGATTTCAAACGACCCGATCCATATTGGTTGGCAAATGATTTACAGTTCTTGACATAGGTAGATGAGACACAGGATCTTAGGCGCGATGAGTTTGACAGGTCTAATTGAATTCAGAACAAGGTTTAATAGGAACCCATAAATTGAAAGAACCGGTATCGAATAGAATCAAGAATTCTTGACAAGGAGTACCAATGGTAAGTTAACCATAATACAAGTCATCCTCATAATTGAAGAGTTGCAACACCATATTCGGCATTCAGTTTACGCAATTTATTGGTTTTGCTTTTCTGTTCCATAATTTTGGTTAAGGAACCTTGAACTAGAATGACCTCTGTCAAGAGAAGAATTTTCCTTTGAACTTTTGACTTTTTTTATAGTCGTGAGTCAAGATGCTACCAACATTTATTTCTAATAATTGTTCCAAAACAAACGGATTATAAGATAAGTATTTGTTTGTTTTTCAAAAACCAATGAAAATATATCCCGAATTAGGAAAAACATACACTAAGTGATTAAACTGGACTATTGTAGATAAAATTGATATAATATGTTTTATTAGAAAGAGACTCTTATGCATTTTTCTTTGCATCAAAAAAATCCAGCTTTCAGCAACCAAAGTCCATAAAAATTGAATCCACAATTTGTTTCCACAATACCACAATTTCTATATACGACATTAAAAAAGTGAACTCATGCAACTTTTTATCTTGGGGCCATCTACATTTCATGATTATTTACTTTTGAAAAACGAAATTAGCATGGTTGTTTACTAGGATTAGTATAGGTAAATGTCATAGATAGGAAATACATATTTCGGTCATGTCGAACTTTTTGTACCCTGTAACTTGAAGGATGTTAATTGCCAAATTCCACGCTGTGCTACTGCAAATGCAAAAAAAAAAATGCAAATTGTGCACCAAATAATAGAGATTGAGATTAAAGATTTAAATTTTGACACTTTTTACGTCATAAAAATAAAACTAAAAAAGCTATTTCAAAAATGTTGGTTGCATTTTATTGGGTATTTTGTACTTAACGAAACAACCTAAATTTAACTCTAAATCTAACTCCTATAAATAACTAAGAAAAAATAAAGAAAACGAAATCAACCCCAATGTACTCACTTTTGCATGTCTGCATTTTTTTAATAACGTGCAGAAAAGGAATGTGAAATCACGTTTTTTTAAATCTTTTTTTGGTTTTCGTTAGTTTTTTTTAAGAAAATGTATAAGTTTTACATCATTTAAGTCCCGTTAACTAAAAACTTGTACAAAGTTTTGAACAAAAATCAAATAAATAACTAACAATAAGAATTATAGAAGAAATATATATAATAACCGCTGAAGAGGACATTCGGAAAAATCTGTTCTACCCTGGAAATTGCAAAGGGACTTAAATTGTGTCAATTATTGGTCATGTGGGTACAAAAACTGTGTTCCGTTGTTCCCAAACCTCAAATTAGAGGTCGTACACCGCTTATAAGATGTGTGGACCCACGTCTAATGATAAGGGAAATGTAATTTGATAAGTTTTAACACCAAAATATGCTTCGTAAATACTCGTCAAACCTGTTAGTCATTGAACGGCGTGAAGAGCCCTTCCCGACATTGGATATAGCAGCATTAAAAAAAGACTAAAAACCTGTATTATAGGAAAAAACTGCAAAATAAGGGTAAAGACTTTTCAACTAGACCAAAAGTTGAACTGTGGTCGACTGGAAACGTGTGATTGGGTCCGACGAATCCAAATTCAACCGTTTTCAATCCGACGATAAGCATTATTGGTGATGAAAACTAATTCAAAGGTCCAATGTGAAGCACGGTTGAGGAATTGCCATGTGGAAGAAGTTATTATGTGCAGGACGGTGATCAAAGATATACGTCAAAATTCGTGAGAGAATATCTTCGTGAGCAAAATTTTTAATTAACACAGTGGTCAGCACAAAGTTTCGACTTCAATCCGAACGATAATTTGAGGCCAATCGCAAAGAGGGAGGTGGGACAGTACCAATCAGCCCCTAATAATTTAGACGAACTTTGGTAGTGGATCTGAGGTGATTGGAAGAATAATTCCAATGAAATTGCACTAAAATTGGTTGAAAATATGTCAAATTGCATAAATGATGCATTAAAAATATAAAACTATGGTATAAATAATAAAAATATTCAAATTCTGCAAATTTGTTCAAAAGTGCAAAAGTGAGTACATTGGAGTTGATTTACTTTTTTCTGTTTTTTCTTAGAAATTAAAGAGTTAAAATCTTTAACTTTAGGTTGATTTGTTAGGTACGAAATACCTTATAAAATACAACAAAAATTTTGGAATTTGCTTTTATATTTTTATTTCTATGACGTAAAAAGTGTCCAATGTACAAGCATGTACTCATTTCTGCTCGTCACTGCATATAAGGATGGCCTTTTGCTAGTTCGTGCTGAGTCATGCTGTTAATGATTTAGTGGTTGTCTGCTCTGCTAATCATAGTTTACAACCCCATAAGTGCTAGTGTTCAAATATAGATGGCGGTAAGTAATGATAACATAGTGCCAGGCCTCAATGTCGCATGAGAGAAAATATGAACACATCTCATAGAAATATTTGCTTGCGATTCCACATTTTTGGGCAGTTTCAATTATATTTAAACAACTCAATATTTTAAGAATAATTCTAAATAAATTTCGAATAATAGAAATGTCTTGCAAATTGTGCAACAGAGCATTTATAAGTAAAATTATTTTAAATACTTTTTTATACCCTTCACCACACTGTGGTACAGGGTATTATGTCTTTGTGCATATGTTTGTAACAGGCAAAAATAATCGTGCATAGAATCACTTTCTGAGTCGATTTGTGCATTTATTTGTCCGTCCGTCCGTCTGTTCATGTTAAATTGTAAACAAAGTACAGTTCGCATTTATAATCCGATTTGGCTGAAATTTGGTACAGCTCATTTATTTCGCCCAAGGACGAACCGATGGGAAAAATCGGTTCAGATTTAGATATAGCTCCCATATATATTTTCGTCCGATTTATGGTAAATGGTGTACCAAAGTCCCTATATATCTTTCGATTTCCACGAAATTTGGCACAGCGTAATGAATAAGGTCCTGAATGACGTGTGCAAAGTTTCGTGAAAATCGGTTCAGATTTAGATATAGCTCACATATATAGCTTCGCCCGATACACTAAAGTCACTGGAAATATTTTGATTTGCTCGAATTTTGGCATAGCGTACTGAATTAAGTCTAGAATGATGTGTGCAAAGTTTCGTGACAATCGGTTCAGATTTAGATATAGATACTTAATTAAGGCTAAAATGATGTGTGCTAAGTTTCGTGAAAATCGATTTAGATTTAAATACAGCTCCCATATATATATTTTCGTCCGATTTTATGTAATTGGTGCACCAAAGTCCATATATATCTTTCGATTTGCGCGAATTTTTGTATAGGATACTGAATTAAGTCTAAGCTAGACCGATTGACACAACGTACTGAAGTAATTTAAATTAGTCTCTGGCAAGTTTCCCTGAAATCGGTACAGATATAGATATATAACAAAAACGCGACGTATGTTAGGATACATATGTAGAATATACCCAAAGTGGTGAAGGGTAACATATAGTCGGCCCAGTCCGACTTTACTATTTTCCTTACTGGTCTAAATTAGATCATGAAATTGTGCACTTTGGGCTCTATGACACGTCACACTTATACCCTTAGACTGAAAAAAATAACTTTTTTAACCCTCAGAAATATACCATTGAAAATAACTCTAAGGAAATAGGGCGCGTGGGAGTCCTACATTGTTTTTGTTTGTTAGTATTATCAATAAATCTATTTTGATAAAAAACGCGTTAGAGCCTCTTTTCAAAATACAAAATCAAATCTAATCATTTGCTACAACATTAGTCTGGTCTAAACACTTATGATATGTCCATTCCGATTGTGATGAATCCTCTTGACATTTTGTTGTACATACGAGTATAAAAAATGCTATCTAATAAACAGTTTCTTTTTGTTTGACACAATTTTTAGAATAAAATTGTGATATGATCATACGTCGGGACTATATATAAAAGCAGCAACATTGCAAAAACACAACAATTCAAACGAAAATGTTGAAATTATTTGTGGTATTATTAAGTGCTCTGCTCTTGACAGAGGCCACTCTCGTTCAAGTTCCTTTAACCAAAGTTAAGGAACAAAAAAGCAAAGCCAATGAATTGCGTAAACTGAAGGCCAAATATGGTATTGCTACTGAAAGCCGGGAATTGGTCAAGGAGAAACTCTTCAACTATGTGGATGACTCGTATTATGGCAAAATCACCATTGGTACTCCTGGTCAAGAATTCTTGGTTTTGTTCGATACTGGCTCTTCCAATTTGTGGGTTCCTGTAAAGCCTTGCTCAGAATACAATCAGGCCTGTGAAAATCATCACACCTACGATCCAAGTGCCTCATCTACCTATGTCGAAAACGGTGAATCGTTTGCCATTCAATATGGATCGGGAAGTTTGAGTGGTTACCTTGTCGAGGATAAAGTGACCGTTGAAGGTTTGGAAATCAAGAAGCAAGTTTTTGCTGCTGCCACTAGTGAACCTGGTACCACCTTCGTCTATGCTCCATTCGATGGTATTATGGGTATGGCCTTTAAGGCAATTGCTGTTGATGATGTCACACCACCATGGTACAATATGATCCACCAAGGATTGGTGAGGGATCATGTATTCTCGTTCTACTTGGCCCGTCATGGCACCTCTGATGATGGTGGTGTTATGGTTTTGGGTGGCAATGATGATCGTCACTATACCGGCGATTTCCATTATGTCCCTGTATCCGAAAGGGGTTATTGGCAATTTGAAATGGATGAAGCTCACGTTAAGGATGTTCGTTTGTGTGACCATTGTCAAGCTATTGCCGATACTGGTACCTCTCTCATCGGTGTGCCATCGGATAAATACGAAGAAATCCAAAGGGCTATTGGCGCCAAATTCAGTGAGGATACCTATGAATATATGTTGGATTGTTCGAAAATTGATGAATTGCCAGAAGTTGTTTTCTACATTGGCGGTGGAAGATTTACTTTGAAAGGATCCGAATATGTTATCAAATCTGATGACCAATGCGCTTCGGCTTTCGAAAATGCTGGTACCGATTTCTGGATTTTGGGTGATGTCTTTATTGGTAAATACTATACCAGTTTCGATTTTGAACATAATCGTGTTGGTTTTGCTTTAGCTAAATAAATCAATACATGATATTGTATGATTTGGAAATTTTATAAAAGAAATAAATAATGTTGAATAATAAACAATGAATAAAATTCCAATAATTCTTAAGAACAGATTTATTATGAGTCCCGGGCAAGAGAGTAATAAATTGTTGTACCCTGCGTAATTAGATCTATGGTATATAAATATCTGGAAAAATAAAATACTGTAGATATACCAAAAAGTTCTAAATATTCTTTATAGCATTAAATAATTCAAAGTCAATTTTGTATTCCAGATAGTGCTTTAAAATTTGCAACGATATTTATGTATTCCCTATGATCTTTGATATTGAAAATAAGCCATGTCGGTCCACGGTTTGATATGTTTTCAAAATGACGTTACCTTTTCTGTACAAAATATCTTCTAGTGGTATTTTATGGGCAGAAGACCTCATAGAGATTCTCGATTGGAAAAATAATTTGTAATACTTCAGGTAGAGCTTTTAACCCTCTCGGTCCACGGTTTTGTTTATTTGAAAACATATCACGTTATTGACTCATTTTAAAACATTTCAGAAGTTTGGAACTATTTTCAAAGCAATTTCTTTTTTTTTTGTTTTTGGTATCTATGTTTGGATGAATTATAGGTCCTAAATATATTAGGTTTGGGAGAAAGAAACCCGTTATTTTTATATGAATTATAATACTTTATTTAACATGCTTCGGAATGTGCGATTTGGGCTAAATATACACCGTTTTGTTGTATGATTTGTTGCCATTTTAAAGGTAACTTCATAATGTCTCTCTCATAGAAGTCCTGCTCTGTACTTTATATTTTTTTATCATTTGGGAAATTTTGTAATGCAAGAAAAATATGATAATCGCTTGGTGCCAAGTTATAAATATTCCCAACCAAGCTCCTGAATTTTCTGGTGAGTCAATGTAGATGTGTGTGGCTTACCGTTGTCCTGGTGGAACACGACACCTCTCCTCAATTGTAAATGGGTTAAAACAGTTTTATGGTCGATTTTTAGCTTCAGGTCGATGTTACAACTGCTAACATGCCGGTCAACCTCGAATTTTTTCTTTGTTCACTACCGGGTGTTAACATTTTCGGTTCATGGCCAATTTTTCAATTGATATTTAATTTTTTGTCGGCAGAAATTTTTCATTGGCATAACTCCAATACAATAGCTCCGATCGACCCCATGTACGCCTCGGCCTAACTTAACGTCGTTTTTACATGTTTTACCTTTCAACGTGCAGATGTACCATTTTTGTCGCATCTTTTCCGTTTATATTATGGGAGTTACACAGAAAAAATAATTCGTATATAATATGAATATTGTTCAGAAAATGTTGCCAATGTCCTATTTTCTGCATTTTATGATTTCAATTCATGAAACTTTTAATAGCGGTTTCTTATCAGATTGTTGTTGTCTGCTTTTAACTCCAAGTTTAGGAAGGCTGCGACCTGTATCGGTTGTGTCCAAAGTCAATATGGGGTTAGGTGAGTGGGTTTGGCTTGGCAGTTGAATAGATGTAGTGTGTCATGTGGACCATTACCACTTGCCGGGCAGATATTATCGACCTCACCGTCAATTCGTGCCCAATATGAATTAAGGCAACTACACCATCCTGATCTTAATTGTGCCAAGACCATTCTGGCTTGTCGAAGTAGCTGCTGCTCTTCTGCAGCTATCGTGGGCGGGCAAATAGCTGTGGCATGCGCGGACGACTTATAAAGGCTATCGAATGTGACCCCTAGAACCTTGGGGTAATTTGGCCATATTCCATATTCCACGACCGGAAAATATCCCCGCGATAGTGGTTCATCCTCTCGCAAATGTCATCAATTTTGGGTCCTGACGTCATGATCGTACAATCATCTGCGTATGTTATGATCTTTATGACGTCCGGTGGCCGTGGAAATCCAGAGTGGTAGATGTTAAACAGTTTCGGAGATATCACCCCTCCTTGGCGAACACCCTGTTTAACTTTTTGGGTCTTCGACTGTCTGTCTCTAAATTCCACGTCAACTGGCGTTTCAAACATGGCTGGAGGGTTGTTCTCTCGATGTCCTCGAACAGCTTAGCGTGACTGACGGTACGTACACGACCTGTTTTGGTTGAGTCCTTCCGTTATATGTGTGGAACTGGCGTGCAAAGCTGTTGTTGTACTATCTTCTTCCGGAACCCATTTTTATGATCAGCAACTGAGTAGCAACACGAATGCTGGGGAGTAGTAAAGCCTCAAGTATCTTAGCTACTGGCGACAAAAGTGAGATCGACCTGTATGACTCTCTTTTGCTGGCATCGTTGCTTCAGTATCGATGTCGATCTGTGGTAGATGCTGTTGTGAAAAACTGAGCAGAACCATGGTCGGGGTTTGTCTCAATCCCGGATCAAAAGAATCCGGAGCAAACATTCCGGTTAATGTATCTCCCAAGTTGAAAAAATACACGAACATGTACTTGCTGGGTTGACAGCCCTTGGTCGGAAGTTGATTCCTCCGAGTCAATCCGGTGCATAGAACGGGCCGTCGTGGGATGGGGTTTGATGGTGGCGAGGGGTTTTCTATGGCATAGCAATTTTTTGTCGTTTTAATATATTTTTTTTTTTTTGGTTTTATGTTTCCTTCTACTTTAAGTCTCGTCTCGTTTCTTGTTATGATGGTTCTTGTCTTGTGTCATTGAAGGATCCTGTTATAATGTTAAACATTCGTTTGGGCTTGTAACTCGTAACAGCACTTGTTTGATACTGCTATCAAAATAATTTGGAAAACACATATGCGAATTTTATGACAATGCAGAGGTCTGTAACAATGTCTAAAATAAATAAAACCAGTAAGGAAAGAAGTATAGTCGGACTGGGCCGACTTCACCACTTTGGGCATATTCTACATATGTATCCTAACAGAGGTCACCTTTTTGAAGGAACATTGACATGAAATTGAACGAACCGAAATATGTGATATATATCTAAACCGACTAACATCAATCCGATCACATGTAATTCTGCCAAAATATATATGGGAGCTATATCTAAATCTGAACCGATTTTCATCAATTTCAATAGGGTTCGTCCTTGGGCCAAATAAATGAGCTGTTCTTTGTTTACAATTTAACATCAACAGACGGACGGACATGATTAAATCGACTATGTGTCTATCTCGTTTCCTTTTGCCTGTTACAAACATATGTACAAAGACATAATACCCTGTACCACAGTGTGGTGAAGGGTATAAAAATGTAATGCAAAACTAACCAACAGAGTCAGTGGAAAGACGGCGGTTGTGAGCAAGAGAAACAGTAGTCAGACGATTGCGATTGTCACCAAGTGTAGTGAGAGGTGGAGGACGACACATAAACAAAACACTGCCGAACAATGAGTGATGGAAGCGTTTTTTAGGAGGAATACACTTGTTTTTGTTAAAAGAGAGAGAGAGAGAGAGAGAGAGAGAGAGAGGAAAATATGATGCAAATAGCGGTAAAGTATATCAAAGTAGGAAAATAATGTTGATATTAATGACATATTTTAATTTTTTCGAAAAAAATTGTGGCTTTCTCATGATTAAATTTATTTTTATTTATAGCCTAAGCGAGGTACATCTACAATGTGGATGAAACTAAACTATGAATTAAATTATGAAAAGATTCATTAATTTTTAGGTGTATACACATACTCCATTCTAAACCCAATTCTTGTCTCGGTGATGAATTCGATTATATGGGATCTATATCGAAGAATGGATTAATTATATTAGTCCAAGAAAGATTACATCCTGATTAGAGTTTAATATTTTATAAATCTATGGAATTTAAACCAAACTTGCCCCAAATACCCTGAACCTCAAAATAAAAATGCAATTTTTTATATTTAAATATTTTTCGATTTATTTCACATTTCTATATTCATAAAAAATTACCTTATAGCAATTTCATTATAAATACGAATATTATTCACCACTTCATTTATACAGCCAAAGCGAAACCTACACGATCGTTCTCAAAATCGAATGTGGTATAGTACTTGCCAATGAAGACATCACCCAAAATCCAGAAATCAGTACCAGCATCTTCGAAAGCTGAGGCGCATTGACCGTCCGATTGGATAACATAGTCGGAACCTTCCAAAGTGAAGGTACCACCACCCAATTCGAATGTAACAACGGGCAAGCTATCAATGTTCGAACAATCCAACATATATTCATAGGTATCATAGCTGAAGGTAGCGCCGATAGCTTCTTGAATGGCTTCGTATTGATCGGTGGGAACACCAATGAGGGAGGTACCAGTATCAGCAATAGCTTGGCATTGATCACACAAGGAAACACCATTAGCGTGGGCGCTGGTCATTTCGAATTGCCAGTAACCCTTTTCGGAGACAGGAACATAATGGAAATCACCAGTATAGTGAGTGGGATCATTGCCACCCAAAACCAAAACACCACCATCATCTGAAGTACCATCACGGGTGAAGTAGAAAGAGAAGACCTTGTCGGTAACCAAACCTTGATGGATCATGTTGTACCATGGGGGAGTGACATCGTCAACGGAAATAGCCTTGAAGCCCATACCCATGAGGCCATCGAAGGGAGAGTAGACAAAGGTATCACCGGGTTCACTGGTGGCAGCAGCAAAAACTTGATTTTTGATTTCCAAACCTTCAACATTGACGGTGTCTTGGACAAGATAACCACTCAAGCTACCGGATCCGTATTGAATGGCGAAGGATTCACCATTGGCAACATAGGTGGAAGAGGCACTGGGATCGTAGGTATTGTGATTTTCACAGGCTTGATTGTCCGAGGAGCAGGGAGCTACAGGAACCCACAAATTGGAGGAGCCGGTATCGAACAAAACCAAGAATTCCTGAGCAGGAGTACCAATGGTGATTTTGCCGTAGTAAGAATCATCGACATAGTTGAAGAGTTTCTCAGTCACGGCTTCTCTGGCCTTAGGGGTACCGCCATATTTGGCCTTCAATTTCAGCAATTCATTGGCCTTGTTTTTGGTTTCCTTAACTTTCATTAAGGGAACTTGAACGATAGTGGCCTCTGCCAAGAGCAGGGCACTCAACAACACAACGACGAACTTCAACATTTTGTATGTGAATGATTTGTTGTGACAGTACGTTTCCTTTTATATACAGTGTCTGTTCGGTGGTTATGAATTGATCGATTTTTTTTTTGTCAAGTACTTCTTTTAGAGATAGCCAGCCTTCTGTCATATTTTGTTGTGACGAAAAAAAATCGGCGGAAAATTTGACATATCATAAGTGGTTTAACGGAAACTAACGGACGTGCGAATAAAAATGATTAGCTGCTTGATATTCATCGAAAGTGACAAACGAATAACAATGCTGGTTTTATCATCGAAGGTAGTTTGTTTCTAATTAAGGTAACTTTAGATAAAGATTTAAAATTCGGCCGGCCGGATTCTTGCATGAAATAATGCATACTTTTTGGCGAAAATGATAATGTTCGCCTCTATAACAGTATATATTAGATTATGATATGGTATTACATTAATGATAAGACCGTGAATTCTGATATGAAATATCGGAACAGAATGTTCTTAGGGGGTATATTGAGTATATGCATACAAGAGATGTTCCTAAGATTCTTATTGTAATCTGTCTTAGCAAAATTGCATATCATTTCCCCAACGAAGTGGTTGTATTTTAGTGGTTCCGGGTTTTGAAGGCTTAACATAATGAAATCCCTTAAATGAAATTTTGATTTAGGTAGCTCCCACATATATTTTCATTTAAATCGGGCAACAAATTCCCAACGTTCGCCCAAATGAGACAACATTTTGCACAACTAGGTACATTTTAATTTGTGAAGTTTCCTTGCAATCGGTTCAGATTAAGATATACCTTCAATTTATAGATTCGTCTAATTTTATGGAAATTTTGCAACATTTCGTTTGATTGAATGTCAATGGTGCAAAAAACTTCCAAGGTTTCTCCGATTGAGACAAGATGTTGCACAGCGTATTGAATTGAATGTTGTATGCATAATTTTGTATTGGATGGAATTTTGAGTATTTGATTTTATAAACCAGTAAGGAAAGTAGTAAAGTCGGACGGGCCGACTATATGATACCCTTCACCACTATGGGTGTTTTAAAAGATGCATCCTAACAGAAGGGCAATTTACATGAAATTGGATGAAATAAAATATGTGACCTTTATCTAAATGTGAATTGACTTAGATCATAAACTAATTTAGACTAATATATGTTCGTTTTGTTCCTAATGGATATATTTTGGGTCCTACTTAAAACCGGACTAAACTATATGGGAGATAAAACTAAATTTGGACGGATTTCAACAAAACTAGACACACACTTGGCTAAACTATTTTAAGTACGTTGTGCAAAATAAATCCGAACTGGTTTCAGCAAAACTTGACACATGTTATGTTACACAAACTTTAGTATGTTGTGCAAAATTGTGTGGCAATCTGCCAAACTTAGGGTCTTCAAATAGGACAATTTTCACAAACTTTACACACATCATTCTAGACGCCATGTCAAATTTCGTGCAAAATTAAAATTAAATAGGGCAAAAATATATGGGAGCTATATCTAAATCTGAACCGATTTTCTCGAAACGTAACACACATCATTCTAGACTTAATTCAGTACGCTATGCCAAATTTCGGCTAAATCGAAATACATATAGGGACGTTGATACACCATCTACCTTAAATCGGGCGAAAATATATATGGAGCTATATCTAAATCTCAACCGATTTTCACGAAACTTAACACACATCGTTATAGGTTTTACTCAGTACGCTATGCCACATTTCGTGCAAATCGAAGGGACTTTGGTACACCATTTACATTAAATCGGTCGAACATATATATGGGAGCTATATATAAATCTGAACCGATTTTCAAGAAATTTTACACACATCATTCTAGACTCAATTCAGAAGGCTATGCCAAATTTCATGCCAATCGGAAGATATATAGGGACACCATTTACATGAAATCGGACGAAAATATATGGGAGCTATATCTAAATCTGAACCGATTTTTCCCAATTTCAATAGGGTTCGTACTTGGGCCTAATAGACTAGCTGTGCCAAATTTCATCCAATTCGGATAATAAATGCGACCTGTACTTTGTTTACAATTTAACATGGACAGACAGACAGACGGACGGACGGACATGTATAAAATTAGAAAGTGATTCTATGAATATTCTCAAAAGGAACCATGTATCTATCTCGTTTCCTTTTGCCTTTTACAAACATATGCACAAAGACATAATACCCTGTACCACAGTGTGGTGAAGGGTATAAATATATTCAGATGTAAATATAACTCCTATAATTAACGTTTCTCCGATTGAGATAGCATTTTGGACAGTTCACTGTGCTGCAGAATACCAAACTGTGTATGCCATCGTTGCTGCCATATATAACTTTGGTCAATTTCATACAAATGATGAATTAATGATTTTAATTGGTCCAGATATCTATGTAGATCACATATTTAATTTGGTTCGATTCTCCCTGTAAATAGAATAGATATATGATATATCAAATTTGTCCACATATATTTGTATAAATATACATAGGTCAATTTTTTCGGATTTTGTAGTTCTTGAGCGCGTTTTTCAACCGAATTCGCTGAAATTTGGTACATTGGGTTCTTTTTGGTTACCAAATGTCTACACTACAAATTCTAAATATCGGTCCACTTTTTCTGGTAGCACTCATATAACGGTAGCCCCCAATTTACGGTCTTTTGGGGGTTTTATGTCCGTTTTTAAACCGAATTCGCTGAAATTTGGTACAATGGTACAAATTTCTTCACTAAAAATTATAAATATAGGGCCATTTTTTCGGGTAGCCCCCATAAGATACCCCCAATTTTCGGTATTTTGGGGTTCTGGAGCGCGTTTTTTAACCGAATTCGCTGTAATTTGGTATTTTGTAGTCGCTTATGGTAAAAAATCTTCCTACCAAAAATTATTATTATTCGCCCCTTTTTGAGGTAATTCCTATATAACCCCCTTCTTATATAAAAATAGTTAGCTGATTAGTTTCGTGTGTAGGGGTTTTCCCCATATAGGCGTATTCTACCATACTGCAGGGGAAAGTCGAAATAGTCAATTTTACCCTACAAATTATGGAATTCGAAGACGATTTAGCCATCAGTTGTAATCACTCCGCTTTCTAAGAAAATCATGATAAAAAAAAACTCGAACCTGACGATAGTAAAATATATCGGTCAGCATTTAGGCATCTTCCCCATATAATTATACCTCCTGAAGGAAAGAATTGATATACAAAACAAAATTTTGGGTTCGAAATTGACATACATATGTCGATCATTAATTTGGCATATCCCTAATAATTATTATATTCGCTAATTCCTACACTATGTAATCTGCTGAAATTTGTATTTGCAGTTGTATACCATAGAAGAAAAATTGTTGTGGTTTGAATGGAAAAAAGTCCGTCACTACAAAAAAAAAAAAAAAAAAAAAAAAAATCTGATCTGAAAAGAGTGGAAATGTAGTATTTCTCTTGCTTTCCTTTTCATTGCAACTTCGATCGCATAGCTCATCTCGAAAGGGAGATAAATAAAAACATTTAAATGAATGATCTTTCGGCCTAAAACTTAATGATATTAATTGGTCCAAATATCTATGTAGATTACATATTTAATTTCCCAAATATTTTATGTTTGTTCTATGTACAGGATATTGCGCATATGATCATATTTTTATGTATCTACCCAAAGTGGTGGTATCATATAATCTGCCCGGTCGACTATTGAATTGGTTTTGTGTAGCCTTAATATAACGTTATCCCAAATATATTTTGGAGGCGATTTCAACCGAATTTACTATTTTTTAGTATTTGGGTGTCTTATTAGCTTGCAAACCTTCATTCGAAAATTTATCAATATTGGTCCATATTTTAACACGTTATTCTGTACAATGTATGTACAGAATAACGTGTTAAAATGTTTTGAATGGATTGACTATCATTTGAGATTTGCACTTGAAACCGATAATGGTATTCATTCCTATTGCTATTCAAATAATTCTACCGAAAATGACCGATATCGGTCTACTTATTTGTATAATCCCCATATATGGTATCCCTAATTTTCTGTATTTTGAGCTTTAATGTCAAATTTTGAATGGTATAATCGCATCTTGAAGAATTTCCTTATGGTTAAATATGACAACAAATTGTTAATCATCTGTCATGGAGCTTTATCCTCACAGTATACCGAACAAAAGTCTAGAGAAATATCTACATCTAAAACTATTCTCGAGCTTCAGCTCTTCTACATACACTCCCTGGCCTTCTGCTCATGTTATAGACTATGAACACAACAATGAAAACTCCAACCAGTAAGAAAAGTAGTAAAGACGGACTGAGCCGACTATATGATACCCTTCACCACTTTGGGTATGTTGTACAAATGCATCCTTACAAACATACCACACATTATATTACACTAAATTCAGTACGCTATGCCAAATTTCGTGAAAACCGAAGGATACACCATTTACATAAAATCGGACTAAAATTTTTATGGGAGTTAATCGAAATCTGAACCGATTTTTTTGAAACTTACCACTCATCATTCTAGACTCAATTCAGTACGCTATGTCAAATTTCGTACAAATCGAAGGATATAAAGGGACTTTTGTGCACCACTTACCTAAAATCGGACGAAAATATACATGGGAGCTATATCTAAACCTGAACCGATTTTACCGAAACTTGGCACACATCACTCCAGACTCAATTTAGTACGCTACGCCAAATTCGGGCAAATCGAAAGGTATATAGGGACTTTGGTGCATCATTTACATTAAATCGGACAAATATATATATATATGTATATATGGGAGTTATATCTAAATCTGAAGCTATTTTCACGAAACAAGATTTAATTCAATACTCTATGCCAAATTTCGTGCAAATCGAAAGATATATAAGAACTTTGGTGCATATTTCCCCATAAATCGGACAAAAATGTATGTGGGAGTTATAACTAAATCCGAACCGATTGTTTACAATTTAACATGGGCTGACGGACGGACGGACATGCTAAAATCGACTGAGAATATGATTCATATTCTCAAAAGGAACCAAGTTCCTATCTCGTTCCCTTTTGCCTGTTACAAACATATGCACAAAGACATATAGCCCTGCAACACAGTGTGGTGAAGGGTATAATAATAGCAAAAAATTCAAAATAATTAAGAAATTTGGTTGAATATGAAACGAAATTATTTATTTGTAAAATATATGTATGTCTTTACACATTAGTTTCTGTTCACCAAATTGTCGAACTCAATTTACTTAGCATCAGCAAAGCCAACACGATTGTTACCCAAATCGAAGACGGTATAATATTTACCAATGAAAATATCACCCAAAATCCAAAAGTCAACACCGATATTCTCAAAAGCTGTGGTGCAAATGCCATAATTCTGCAAAACATAATCCTTAGCTTCAATGGAGAATGTACGGCCACCAATGCTGAAGTTCAATGGAGGCAAACTGCTAACGGTAGAACAATCCAAAACATAAGCACCATATTCTTCATTGAATTCAGCACCAACAGCAGCTTGAATATTTTCATATTGTTGGAAGGGAACAACCAAGAGAGAGGTACCGGTATCAGCAACACCTTGGCAATTGTCACATACATTTACACCATTAACTTCTCCCGATGCCATTGCGAATTGCCAATAACCCTCATTTGTAACGGGAACATAGGTCAGCTCACCGGTGTAGTGGTTCGAATCAATACCACCCAATATCAATTCACCACCATTGTCAGAGGTACCGTCACGAGCCAAATAGAATGCAAAGACATCGGCATCCACTAAACCTTGGGCAAACATATTGTAGAATGGTGGTACAACATTATCCTGGGCAATTTGCTGGTAACCCATACCAAGAATACCATCAAATGAGGAGTAGGTAAAGGAGTTGCCGGGTTCATTGGTGGCAGCAGCAAAAACTTGATTTTGAATTGCCAAACCTTCAACGGTGACAGTGTCTTGAACCAAATATCCCGATAGACTGCCAGATCCATAGGCAATGGAGAAGGGTTCACCATTTGGCACATAACTGGAGGAAGCACTTGGGTTATAGGCATGATGATTTTGACAAGCAACATTGCCTTGTGAACAGGGTGCTACAGGAACCCACAAATTCGAGGATCCAGTATCGAATAAAACCAAAAACTCCTGAGGTGGTGTACCAATTGTTATTTTACCGTAGTAGGCATTGTCCATAAAATTCATCAAGTTCTCCTTTTTGGCGACGAAATCGGATTTGTTGTATTTGCCCTTCAATTTCATCACTTCGATTTCCTTGGTTTTCATTTCCTTCACCTTGTGTATGGGAACACGAACCACCGTAGCTTCAGCCAAAATGGCCAAGCACAACAGAGCAACGACAGATTTCAGCATTTTGTTTTTCGATTTCCTTTCACTTGTATCAACGAATGATTGGAACTGATTTTTGCTTTCAATTTCATGGACTTTATATACTTCTCGAGAAATTTTCAATTTCTCCATAGAGACACGTTATATGGCTTAGCTTATCAGTCAATAGGAATTTTACACTCTTGAATTTTTACTTAGTTCACATGTGGCATTAAGTGCATTCATTATCATTACAAGAAATGATAACTATTTCAAGTGTCATCATATTAGTTTGGGGTGTGTATCGGATGAACTATTTGCAATCTTAAAACCCTATGTCTGAAGAGTTTCTAACAGTCGTAAGAGGTTTAGATTAAAAAAAAAACGTCGGCCAACCCAAAACTGGTATATTGAACAGCAAAAATCCAGATAGCCATTTAATTGCATTTCAGTACTATTCAAATAGATGATAGATTTTTTGAATTCTGAAATAATTAAATTTTAAAGGCCCCGGCCTGAAGTAATTGTATATGAATTGTAATATTTTGAATGAATCAAAATATTATAATAATAGAAAAGTAGACCAGTAAGGAAAGTTCAAATATGGGACGGGGCCGACTATATGATACCATTCTATTCTATATTTAAACCTGAAACTATTTCAATCCAATACGCTATGCAATATTTCATGTAAAGCCTACAGACATAGGCTCCTCCGTTTGCAATTTTTGCATAAAATCGGACAAAAAAAAAAAAAAATATCGTGGAAAAAGAACAGGATATATGATGCACCCTTTACATAAAATGGCACTAAATTTTATCTCAATCGGACAAACACTGGCAGTATGGTGCTCCATTTACATAAAATCGTACGAAACTATATATGGTAGGTATATCTAAATCTGAACCGATTCCAACAAAACATTAATCTGAACTTAATTCAGTACGCTATGCTAAATTTTGTCCCAATCGGACCACTATTTGGAGTTTGGTGCACCATTTACATAAAATCGGACGAAACTGTATGTGGGAGCTATATTTTAATCTGAATTGATTTTCTCTAATTTCAACAGGTTTCGTCTTTGGGCCAAATAAGTGACTTGTGTCAAATTTCACCCAAATCGGATCATAAATACATGGACAGACGGACGGACATGCATAAATAAACTCAGAAAGTGATTTTATGCATATTCTCAAAAGGAACCCTGTGTATATCTCGTTTCTTTTCCCTGTACCACAGTGAAGGGTATAAACATCGGCATCAACTAAGCCATGGGCACACATATTGTAGAATTGTGTTACAACATTAGTGTAGCTCGGTTCATTGGTGGCATCAGCAAAACAATGATTATACCCTGCACCACACTGTGGTACAGGGTATTATGACTTTGTGCATATGTTTGTAACAGGCAAAAGGAACCTAGATAGACCATGGTTCCTTTTGAAAATATGCATAGAATCACTTTCTGAGTCGATTTATGCATGTCCGCCTGTTCATGTATTTATGATCCAGTGTGTATGAAATTTGGCACATGTCACTTATTTGGCCCAAGGACGAAACCTATTGAAATTGGATAAAATCAATTCAGATTTAGATATAGCTCCCACAAACAGTTTCATCCGATTTTATGTAAATGATGCACCAAACTCCCAATATTCGTCCGTCTGTTGGTGTTCAATTGTAAACAAAGTACATGTCGCATTTATCATCCGATTTGGATGAAATTTGGCACAGCTCATTTATTTGAAATTGGGTTCAGATTTAGATATAATTCTCTTATATATTTTCGTCCGATTTATTGTAAATGGTGCACAAAAGTCCCAATATATCTTTCAATTTGAACGAAATTTGGCACAGAGTATTGAATTAAGTCTGGAATGATGTGTGTTAAGTTTCGTGAAAATTTCCTCCGATTTAATGTAAATGGTGTAGCAATGTCCCTATATACCTTTCGATTTGAACGAAATTTGGCATAGCGTCTGAATAAAGTCTGGATTGATGTGATTTAAGTTTCGTGAAAATCGGTTCAGATTCTCACCTTTATATATAAATCTCCGTCCGATTTTACGTAAATAGTGTACGAAAGCTCTACTTTTCATTCAATTTGCCCGAAATTTGACATAGCGTACTGAACTTGGTCTAGAATAATGTGTGTTAAGTTTCGTGATAATCGTTTCAGATTTAGATATGGCTCCCATATATATTTTCGTCCAATTTTAGTCTATATGAATGTGTGCTGAGATTCGTGGAAATCGGTTCACATTTAAATATAGCTCCCATCAGTAGGCTCGCTTTTATATGTTTTTTGAGCTGGGGCATTCTCATCCATTCGCATAACATGGCCTAGCCACCGTAGTCGCTGCAGCTCGATAAGACTATGTCGATGACCGCGTATAGATTGTAAAGCTCGTGGGTCATTCGACACTCGCTTTTATATGTTTTTTGAGCTGGGGCATTCTCATCCATTCGCATAACATGGCCTAGCCACCGTAGTCGCTGCAGCTCGATAAGACTATGTCGATGTCCGCGTATAGATTGTAAAGCTCGTGGGTCATTCGACGCCCATATTCACCGTCGATGCAGATCGGCCATAGAATTTTCGGAGAATTTTTCTCTTAAACAACCCAAGAGCTGCCTCATGTGCTTGCACAAATGCCGATGCTTAAGTTCCATATAACAGGACGGGTAGTATCAGCGTCTTGTAAAGTGTGAGTTTGGTCTGGCGGGAGGTGGTATTGTTTCTAAACTGATTACTTATACCATAGTAGCATCTGTTGGCCAACACTATCCTTCTCCGAATTTCACAACTGATGTCATTAGTTTCATTTATGTCGGTACCAAGGTATATAAAATCTTTAACTACCTCGAAGCTGTAGTTCCACAGTTGGTCCGAGTCTACTGGACATCTTGGGCGTTGATACCATCAGCTTGGTCTTCCCGTCATTTACTGCCAGAACCACTTTGGCAGACTCCTTCTCAATTTTTTCAAATGTGGCTGTTACCGCTCGCAATGTTCGACCCATTATATCGATGTCGTCGGCGTAGGCGAGTAACATGTGTTGTTTGGTATACAGAGTGACATCTCTTACAGAGTGCCATTTCTGGTCACCTTTGCGTCTCGTATGTCCTTTTCCAGCAGGATGTTAAAAAGGTCACACGACAAACTGTCACCTTGTCTGAATCCTCGTTCGGTATTGAAGGGCTCCGATAGGTCCTTTTTGACTTTAACTGCTGATCGTGTGCTACTTAAAGTTATCCTGCATAGCCGTATTAATTTTGCAGGAATGCCGAACGCAGACATGGCTTTAAATATCTCTGAACAGGCAGGTCTGTCGAATGCGGCTTTATAGTCGACGAATAGGTGGAATGTGTCGATGTGTTTTTCGTGGATCTTTTCCAGGATTTAGCATAGAGGTGAATGGTGGATTTACTAGGTTTGAAGCCGCATTGGTATGACCCAATAATGTCATTGACCATTGGCTTCAATCGTTCACACAGCGCACTGGATAACACTCCATATGCGAGGGGAAGGATACTTATTCCTCTATAGTTGGCACATGTCGTCTTGTATCTTTTTTTGTGCAAGGGACAGGAGTCTGAGGTGTCAATCATTGGGCATGAATTCCTCTAATCAAATTGTACTAATCAGCTGGTGCATGCTCCAGCATCTAATCACCAGTCTTGAATAGTTCGGCTGATAAACCATCGGTACCTGCTGCTTTATTATTCTTCAGCCGATTGATTGCTATTCTGATCACCTCTTGGCTAGATGGTATACACTCTATACCGTCATCTCTAAATAGTTTCTGGGATATCTCCTTCACCGTCACTATTTGATACCAGAAGCTTTTCAAAATGCTCCTTCAATATCCTCAGCACGCTGTCTGTATCTGTCACCAGGTTTCCTTCTTCATCTCTACATGATGATGAGCCTGCACCAAAACCTTCGATTTGGTGTTTTACTCGTTGGTAAAATTTCCGGACTTCATTCTGACTCATGTACATCACGATTTGCTCACGCTCACATTTTTATACCCTTCACCACTCTGTGGTACAGGGTATTATGTCTTTGTGCATATGTTTGTAACAGGCAAAAAGAAAACGAGATAGACACATGGTTCCTTTTGAGAATATGCATAGAATCACTTTCTGAGTCGATTTATGCATGTCCGTCCGTCCGTCCGTCTGTCGATGTAAATTGTAAACAAAGTACAGGTCGCATTTATAATCCGAATTGGATGAAATTTGGCATAGGTCACTTATTTGGCCCAAGGTCGAACCCTATTAAATTTGGGAAAAATCGGTTCGGATTTAGATATAGCTCCCATATATATTTTCGTCCGATTTAATGTAAATGGTCCCTATATATCATTCGATTTGCACGAAATTTGGTACAGTGTAATGAATTAGATCTAGAATGATGTGTGTCAAGTTTCCTGAAAATCGGTTCAGATTTGGATATAGCTCCCATATATATTTTCGTCCGATTTAAGGTAAATTGTGTACCAAAGTCCCTATATATGTTTCGATTTGCACGAAATTTGGAACAGCGTAATGAATTAGGTCTAGAATGATGTGTGTTAAGTTTCGTGAAAATCCGTTCAGATTTGGATATAGCTCCCATATATATTTTCGTCCGATTTAAGGTAAATGGTGTACTAAAGTCTCTATATATACTTCGATTTGCACGAAATTTGGCATAACGTACTGAATTAAGTCTAGAACGATGTGCGTTAAATCGGTTCAGATTTAGATATAGCTCCCATATATATTTTCGCCCAATTTTAGGTAAATAGTGCACCAAAGTCCCTTTATATGCTTCGATTTGCACAAAATTTGGCTTAGCGTACTAAAATGAGTCTAGAATGATTTCGATATTGCTCCCATATATATGTTCGTCCGATTTTATGTAAATGATGCACCAACGTCCCTATATATCCTTCGAATTGTACGAAATTTGGCACAGCGTACTGAATTAAGTCTAAAGCGATGTGTGTAAAATTTCGTGGATATCGGTTCAGATTTATATATAGCTCCCAGATAT